ATACAAAAAATAACTAAATAAGTTGTCTAATTTGTTGACAAATATAAATATTCGTGGTAAAAAAAAGACAAAACATTGCGTATGAGGGTCTACATGGAGTTAACAGAATAGACAATTCGGGCAAATCTGATGTGAAAAAAAACGAAAATTCGTAGTTATAGGAAATTAACCCAACGAACAGCAATTGAAATCTCCTCCCCATCAAATTGTACCTCACGACCTGTATAATGCTGGAAGTGGTTTAATGTGCTTTTGGAACACCCTTTAAAAATATGAGTAGGGTTCTGCAGGCCACGGCTTAGGTAGCACTTCACAGTTAGAAAATAAAATTAAAATTGAGCCACAGAATGTTTAATAATCTTCCGATCCTGGCCTTCTAATACATTAGGCCAACTGCAGCGATTGTGTCATACATGCGAAACTACACACCTATCTATGGAGTGCTACCTTACTCGAATGCTCCCGATACAGTTATGCTGATGAAGATATAATGAAACTAATAGAACCGGGAGTTTTTAACGACCTTGACTGGCTATACATATATATGGAAGTTTTTAACGACCTTGACTGGCTATACATTGCTCGGTCGGCTATATAGGGGGAATGGCACGGTGCCCACCCCCTTTTTGTTGGAAAATAAATGTTGATTATATAGGGAATCACTTAAGAATGATTAGCAGTTAGTGCCCCCTCCCCTTATATAAAAAAATCTGAGAACAAGTTAAACTAATACAAATAATGCCGAAAATGGAACATCTCAAGTATATAAGGTAATCACACTCCCACTCCCGAAACAAAAAAAAAACGTCATGTTATTGCAATCTAATAACAGTTATTTAATTCGCTATATTATTGTTTTCATTAGTTTACAAGTTGTGACCTTCGAAATTGTTTTATTTAATTTTCCTATAGACTTTTATGGTAACCCCCTTTGCCCCTAAAAAACAAATAAAATAAAGTTTCCCTCCCACAAGATTCAAAACTTAAACGTTGATTTGAAAAAAAAACTTGATTTTAGATTTTCGGTTATAAATTGAAATGAACCTTCTAGAGCCTCAACTTTAACGCGCACAATAATGTCAATCATTACACATCAAATTTAACCCTAAATTGACATTCCACAATCGGTCAGTAACATCACCTGTGTTTATAGTTACATGATATTTCCCGCCGTTGGAAAATCTCGTGCAGTCGACACAATTGATCTGAGTTATTTTTAACATTCTCTTTTGTGAGCGAAGTCAAGTTTAAGATCAAGTTGATTACAGATATTTTTGGTCTACATTCGTTACAGTCTAATTTTTAATTAAAAGAAACGTAACATCATTTCTTTTTTTTTTGTTGGCAATTATAGTAAATTAATCTCATCCCGGAATGTATATAATATACACTTTAACATTACACCTGAAAGTGCTTTATAATAAACGGAGAAACTGTCTAACAATTAAAATTTAAAAGAATATTATCTCTCAGGCTTATTTTAAGATGAGTGATTGTTGGTTGCTTAACTTCCAGTGGCAAATATTCCATGCATGTCAGGACGAACTTAGTTTTAAGATCGCACTCTCAAAAATAATTGAAAAACAATAATGATCAGAAAAACTTTTATTCATGTAAAATAACCCTCCAATCTTTTAATTAGAACTTATTTATTTTTCACAATGTAACAGATTAGTTAACAAGACGTGCATTGAGGTATACATGTACGCAACTTTCATATCTTTTAAATGGAACTTTTTTGTCTAAAAGACAACCAACGAGTTAGCGAAATCGAGTTTGAAAGGACTGCATTGTGCGTAAATACATATACATATTATGAAACGACGGTCGGTGTATTACCAACATACTGCTATACCAGTTGACCCCTGATATCAACTAAGGTTAAAACTTTCCCCTGTCCGTCAGAAATGTAAAGCTTCAATTCAATGTTGACACCTGTATCAAATAAACAGATGGTTCATTGTATTTAGTTCCAATAAACGGTTCTTTTTGTATAACCACAGTTGAATAGTAATTCAATAAAACAAATGACGGATGAACTAATTAATTATGAATATGAAATAATGTCCAAATGTTCCTATATACTAGTATACACATTCGGACTACAATTCGCAACTTGTTATTATCTCATCGAATCATGTTGTTTTGTTTATATATGCCTTCAACCCTAGGAGTATAAATGTGCATTTCATTAATAAAGATTAATGGATCACACAGGTAAATCAGATCGTAGTAAAAATTCATATTTGCCAATGAAATTTAAATGATCTCTGGCCTCGGACATATACATATATTTTTCTATTAAACAAGTCTCAAATCAGTATGTGACATCTTGCCGGATTACGGCATCTACAGTAATAAGACTATTAGTACAGGAACTGATTTCTTTTCTAAACATGACAATAAAGAAGAATTTTATAAGGTGAGAATATTTGTAGTTGTGTATTTCAAAGTTACCGCGTGTATTCATCCTGTTCATCGGTCACATTAAAATAGATTTTTCTTTATTGAACAATAACCAAATTCGATATTTAAATATTAAGTAACTTTATTATCTCGACTGAAAAGGGTAATAAGACAGTTTTTTTTTATCTGACTGTAAACATTGTATATATCACAACGAGCTATTAATAACCGTCGCTCACGCACCAATAGTTCTATTGACGACTCAATACACGCCAGTTTTATCGGACCAACGGCTAATTCCCGTCGACACTGTATAATGGATTATGTAAACATCTATATACAACGATCTATTAATAACCGTCGCTCACGCATCACTGGTTCTATCAATGACTCAATACACACCAGTTTTATCGGACAAACGGCAAATTCCCGCCGACACGGTAAATCTCCGGATGACATGCATAATTTTCTGTGACACAGCAAATTTACGATGAACCTCTAATTATTTTCCGTTCCGCGCAGATTATCCAAAAATCGCGGTCATTTGCCAAATAGGTCTACCAGTGGATGAACATAAATTATTATTTTTACATACTTTAGAGCTATGATCCATATTCAGAGGCACCTCAAAGGGTTTATAGAGCCCAAAATGTTTTTTGTTTGTTATTTAAAAAAAAAATTACTTGACTGAGGATATTAAAAAATTAAAAACATTGTCCAAGAAGTTTTCTTCTTTTTATGTCTTGACTTTTATTTTCTATAATATTTGCTACAAAGTACAAAAGGCTTTATTCATTTTTAATCTGGATTTCAGATCAATCATGTCTGTAACCTGAAAACAATGAGTTTAAAATCTAGGTGTGTGGGAACAACAATAAACCAATCACCTGCAAAAAGTTCAATTTAAGTAAAATTCAAGTACCGGGTATACAGGTCATACTTTCTTGAAAAGTAGATCATCCATATGAAACATGGACTCCATCTGTAACTTATCATTTTACACTTATACCATACCGTTTGTGGTAAACTGTGAGTCCTTGAGGGTATCCCCAGCCCAGTAGAACCATACGTTGGATTTTTTAAATGGAAGAATGACAGTCATGTGTAATAAGATATGCAATGACAGACTTGGGTGTAAAAAAAAACTAAATGTGGATAGTGTTCACATGTGGACACAGATGATGCCCCTGATTGCATATCATATAGTTATAAAGGGACATAATTGAAGAACGGTAAAAAGTGACGCTACCCAAATTTGAACTTGATCTGAGTTTTGTGGTAATAAGCATTCTGCAATGTTGTGTGTAAGTCTCATAACACTTGGTTGAGGCTAACATAAGTAGAGAACAGAAACTAAAATTCAGCAATTTTTCTATTTGTAAACACGCATAACTCTAGAATGGTTGTGTATAAGTTTTATAACATTTGGTTGAGACAAACTAAAGTTAGAGAACGGAAACGAAAAATTCAGCAATTTTTATGTTTAGAAAGGGACATAACTCAAGAATGGTAAAAGAGTCGCCACCAAATTTCGTACTTAATCTGTATTATGTAGTAATAAGCATTGTGTATAAGTTTCATAACATTTGGTTGAGGCAAACTAAAGTTAGAAAGCAGAAACAAAAAAATTGTACTTGATCTTAGTTTTGTGGTAATGAATATTGTGTATAGGTTTCATAATGTTTGGTTGGGGCAAACTTAAGTTACAGAATGGAAATTAAAAATTTTGCAATCTTTCGATTTATAAAGGGGCATAACTCAATAATGGTTAAAGTGACACTACCCAAATTCAACTTGATCTGTGTTTTATCAGTGGAAGTCAAAATTAAACATTGCATTGTATAAAGCATTGATTGTAGTTGATTCAAACTTGATCTGTGTTTTGTGAAAATAAGCATTGTGTATAAGTTTCATAACATTTGGTTGAGGCAAACTTAAGTTAGAGAACGGAAACTAAAAATTTTGCAATTTTTCCATTTATAAAGGGGCATAACTCTAGAACAGTTAAAGTGATGCCACCAAAACTCAAACTTGATCTGTGTTTTGTGGTAATAAGCATTGTGTATAAGTTTCATAACATTTGGTTGAGGCAAACTCAAGTTAGAGAACGGAAACCAATTTTGGGATGTACGTACGTACAGACGGACAAGGGTGAAACTTAATGCCCCCACTGCTACGGTGGGGGCATAAAAATCAAAATATTTCCGACAGGAATCAATTTTCTAAATAAATGGAGAATGTTTCATTGGGACACAGATGATGCCCCTGCTTGCATATAACATTATAAAGGGATATAACTCAAGAACGGTACAAGTGATGCCACCCAAATTCGAATTTGATCTGTGTTTTGTAGTAATAAGCATTGTGTGTAAGTTTCATAACATTTGGTTGAGGCAAACTAAAGTTAGAAAATGGAAACCAATTTTGGGATGGACGGATGGACAGACATACAGACAGACAAGGGTAACACTTAATGCCCCCTCAGCTGCGGCAGGGGCATAAAAACTGTAACAGAAAGAAGTGGGACCTACATTTCCATGTTGTTTTTGTATCAATTTTACATTCAGTAGATTGTTATTCCAAGCTATACTTACATGTACTTCTGTTGAAAAATGATGAATCATTGTGTTTAACTCCATTAAATTCTGAAAAAAAAGTCCAATGTTTAATTTTCTTTGCTTCAGGACAGAATAATACAACAGAGAGTGAGAAAATAAGATTTCTTCATTCAGACGCGACTGATTAACAAATGTTTATTTCACCAGGTATTATTTCAATTAAATCTAATCAAGGATAACACGAAGGAAAGGAACATTATCAATAGTTTAAAAATTTTATACTGATAATATCCTTACAAACAAATTACACATTGTTTCATTTTTTCAAACCTTTTACAACACATTTTCGTTTTATTTATGCATTTTACAAACACTCGTTGATAATTCACTATCTATGAAAACTAATTGCCGATACATAAACATGTGATAAATTCAGAAAAATTCTCCTGTATATATCCTGATGTCAAAATATGTAGATCTGAAATAAATAATTCTTGCATTCCTAAGCAGTGTTGAGTCCTTAGATATAATTTCAATTATCAACAGTCGTTTTAAGACATTATGACTCTCATGACTGTTTAAAAAACAAATTTTACATCTTTTGACTGCTGGTCTTTTTTCATTTTTTTCTCTGCTTTTTCCATAACTATATTATGGTAGATCACCTTTAGACAACTAACATGAAATGATTTGTAATAGGTGACTTATATACCATGTAGTTGAGAGAAAAGGACTTGTACAAGTTGTAATCATAAAACTTTTAAACTTTTTTTCTTCAACTTTCTTGATTTGTCAAATCAAAATGAATTCCTATCTTATGTTTTTTAGAAGTCTGCTTGAAGAACTAAAAGTCTGAATATTACTATTAGAATCAAAATAATTCTTCGTGTCATGTTCTATGCTTATTTTAACATGACATTGCATAGACATTATATTTATAAACATTTTAAAGATATTGCCAAATATAATGCCTACCTTAGTTAATATGAGCATAGAGAATGACATCAAAGAATTATTTCATAATTTTATATGAGCTTAAATTTATATAGACTTTACTATACAGTATGGATTTTGCTCATAATTGACTGTAAGTGAGTATCTGATCATTTACTTGATGTAAATTTTCCCATGACTCCATTGCTTCTGTATCGTCAATGATTTTAGGATTAATCTGTAACTGTTCAATTCCAAGTTCTACAGACGATTCTCTGTTTGGGTCTGCTGAACGTTTACCTGTCATGAGTGGATGACTGAGGTTACCTGTAAAAAAAAAATATTAGTAATTATATATATTTCACAAAATGTTGAATGTTATCTTGGGGAGTTTTATTGCTAACTATGCAGTTTGGATTTTGCTCATTGTTGAAGGTTCTATGTACAGTGGCCTGTAGTTGAATACATGCATGTCCTTTGATCTTTGTTGGATAGTTGTCTCGTTTGTATTTTTAAAATTTTTATGATGTCTTTGATATTGTTATTTTGAAGAAATCTAATTGCTACAGGAAAATAAATTGTTAAGACAAATAATCATCTTGAGTGCTAAATTAAAATACAGAAAACAAGAATACGTGTCCATGGGAAACCATAACTCCCTTCCACTTTCATATAACCACATTCAATGAACCCCATAATCTGGGTCAAAAACCCTAATTTGGCATATATTAGATAAAAAACAATTCATAAGAACATGTGTACTAAGTTTCAAATTGATGTGACTACTATTTCATGGTAAACTGCTTCAGACCAAAATCCCCCACTACTAAAATACTTTGTTTCAGTAATTTTGCATACATTGAAGGGCATACAACCATAAATGACCTACGGGCATTGTCTAAAAATAAGACTCCCCTTCCTTATGTTTTTACCCTCCCAAATATATTTAAATGGAATAACCCTAAGAGCAATTTATATCATTAAGCTTTAATACAATTGTAGTTTAATTAGAATTAAATACCATCTTCTTGAGATTCTGGAGTAGTCTCTGCTTCATTACTTTCTATTTCTGCAAACTCTTTAATGGATCTAATAGCAGTGTTTTTCATATCTTCAATTTTTTCGTCAAACTTGTGGAGGTCACTGTCCTGAACTTGTCTGCGTGTTTTTTCTATTTCCTTAATATTCCTCACAATTTGTTGAACTGTACGGGTTGTGTTTATCTGTTCCTTGTTTAGGTTAGTCCAATCCTGTAGTCTACTGTACTGTAAAGAAATAAAGTAGTTAATACTGATCTTGCTGAGTATTAAATGTAGTCCAATCCTGTAGTCTACTGTACTGTAAAGAAATAAAGTAGTTAATACTGATCTTGCTGAGTATTAAATGTAGTCCAGTCCTGTAGTCTACTGTACTGTAAAGAAATAAAGTAGTTAATACTGATCTTGCTGAGTATTAAATGTAGTCCAATCCTGTAGTCTACTGTACTGTAAAGAAATAAAGTAGTTAATACTGATCTTGCTGAGTATTAAATGTAGTCCAATCCTGTAGTCTACTGTACTGTAAAGTAATAAATAAAGTAGTTAATACTGTCCAATCCTGTAGTCTACTGTACTGTAAAGAAATAAAGTAGTTAATACTGATCTTGCTGAGTATTAAATGTAGTCCAATCCTGTAGTCTACTGTACTGTAAAGAAATAAAGTAGTTAATACTGATCTTGCTGAGTATTAAATGTAGTCCAGTCCTGTAGTCTACTGTACTGTAAAGAAATAAAGTAGTTAATACTGATCTTGCTGAGTATTAAATGTAGTCCAATCCTGTAGTCTACTGTACTGTAAAGAAATAAAGTAGTTAATACTGATCTTGCTGAGTATTAAATGTAGTCCAATCCTGTAGTCTACTGTACTGTAAAGTAATAAATAAAGTAGTTAATACTGTCCAATCCTGTAGTCTACTGTACTGTAAAGTAATAAATAAAGTAGTTAATACTGTCCAATCCTGTAGTCTACTGTACTGTAAAGTAATAAATAAAGTAGTTAATACTGTCCAATCCTGTAGTCTACTGTACTGTAAAGAAATAAAGTAGTTAATACTGTCCAATCCTGTAGTCTACTGTACTGTAAAGAAATAAAGTAGTTAATACTGTCCAATCCTGTAGTCTACTGTACTGTAAAGTAATAAATAAAGTAGTTAATACTGTCCAATCCTGTAGTCTACTGTACTGTAAAGTAATAAATAAAGTAGTTAATACTGTCCAATCCTGTAGTCTACTGTACTGTAAAGAAATAAAGTAGTTAATACTGTCCAATCCTGTAGTCTACTGTACTGTAAAGAAATAAAGTAGTTAATACTGATCTTGCTGAGTATTAAATGTAGTCCAATCCTGTAGTCTACTGTACTGTAAAGAAATAAAGTAGTTAATACTGATCTTGCTGAGTATTAAATGTAGTCCAATCCTGTAGTCTACTGTACTGTAAAGAAATAAAGTAGTTAATACTGATCTTGCTGAGTATTAAATGTAGTCCAATCCTGTAGTCTACTGTACTGTAAAGAAATAAAGTAGTTAATACTGATCTTGCTGAGTATTAAATGTAGTCCAATCCTGTAGTCTACTGTACTGTAAAGAAATAAAGTAGTTAATACTGATCTTGCTGAGTATTAAATGTAGTCCAATCCTGTAGTCTACTGTACTGTAAAGAAATAAAGTAGTTAATACTGATCTTGCTGAGTATTAAATGTAGTCCAATCCTGTAGTCTACTGTACTGTAAAGAAATAAAGTAGTTAATACTGATCTTGCTGAGTATTAAATGTAGTCCAATCCTGTAGTCTACTGTACTGTAAAGAAATAAAGTAGTTAATACTGATCTTGCTGAGTATTAAATGTAGTCCAATCCTGTAGTCTACTGTACTGTAAAGAAAAAAAGTAGTTAATACTGATCTTGCTGAGTATTAAATGTAGTTCAGTCCTGTAGTCTACTGTACTGTAAAGAAATAAAAAAAAGTAGTTAATACTGATCTTGCAGACCTGCCAACTATCCCGATTTATGGGGGATATCCCCCATGAGAGGTGTTGACCTGAATTTTGAAATTCTTTATTATATAAACCATTTAAACTGATAACCTTAAAACAGGCATTCAAATGAGTTAAAAGGGTATTTAAACAAATATATACTCATTCAAACAATAGAATAGTAGATTAAAGACATGTATGACAATATAAGAGGCGCATTAGGTCCTCTTGCGATTAAAATCCCCCATGGAGATTTTGAAAAGTTGGCACGTATGATCTTGCTGAGTATTAAATGTAGTCCAGTCCTGTCTTACATATAGTTTTTTATTGTATAGAAAAAGTCTGAGGTAGCTTCAGTATATTACTCTGACATGTCATGCCCTATGCTCATTTTAACATGGTTAGGTATTTAAAAAGTTATTTAACATGTTTAAAGTTTAGGTATTTAAAAAGTTATTTAGCATGTTTAAAGTTAAGTATTAGATTAAAATGTGAACAAATACACATAGACTTACTATCAAAATGATTTTATTTAATTTCAAGCAACACCAACAAAAATGTCTATTTTAACTTAGATGTTTCAAATTACAACTGACAATGCAATTTTAATTGTGACATCACTCATGTGCACCCCATTTTTTATTGGAATTGGACCATGGCTTTAAGATTTTTGAGCAAACTGAGAATGAGTGACGTACTGTCCTGTAAAAGTAAGAGTATGATAGGTATAATTGATATTTTCATAATAACTGGCAGTAAAACAATAAGCACTTATGCAAATTATATAATCAACATATTATGATTTAATTTTCTATTTCTGAAATGTAGAACTTAACATGCATTAAACTAATAGCAATTAACACCAGGTTAACATAATTTTTTTTCAAGAAAATGTTATAAAGGAACCTGAGTCTAAGAAATTCTCAATACAAAAAATAATTCTTAAATGTTCTGTCAATCAGGGGCAACACGTGTAATTTGTAAATTTTTGATTAAAAATGAATAATTATTGAAGAATCAGAAAAATAATTTAGTGAATTGGTAAATGGACAATTGGTCTCACTTCATTTAACAGTGAACACATCTCTGGTCAAGGTTTAGTTTGGGCTGACTTCTAATTTAATTTAAACACGTTTTTTATTGGTCATGCAGTACAGTAATTTATATTGGATAAAAATTTCAGTTTAAAAGTAGAACTCACTACTGATTTTCACTTTTAAGAAACACCAGAAAACAGGTAGTCAATATTTTAATAATTTAGAATTTTTATGTTTAAATATGTCTTAGTTTGTCGTTGAAACTTCTATCAGCGTAGTTAATTTGTTAATGAACATTGTGTTTCGTCGTTTGTTCATTTTTCAAAACCCTCCCTCCCTTTCCCTAAATGTGGAATAGGTTTGTATGAGGCGGGTATGAAATGTACATTTCATTTGTATCTCATAGAATTTTTATTTTGTTATGCTTCATTCTTTATATTTATTAAGATACTTCTTAGTAGTTCTTTAATTCAGAGTTTATTTGTCAGTTATAATCTATGATCACATGGTATTGCATTTGTATTATAATCTTGACATATGTATATATTATTATGACTACCTGCAAAGCCTAAATAAAAGTTTTTATTTAAACAGTATTTTCTTCTGAATTAATTATATAAATACTAGAAGATTTCACTTACCCCCTTAACAATGGAATTGTTTTCAACTTCTATAGCAGGCTTGAGATCTTTTAATTTTGCCCTTATCATATGTGATAAAATTACCTTTTCAATATTAAGCCTGTGTTTATGTAACCTGTCCAAGTCCATTTCAATCACTTTAAGAAACTTCTGTATTGACGGTTCCAACCTTTGAATAGGAAACTTTGGTATCTCAGTATCTCTGCTTGTCCAGCTTGTGTTTTTCTCAAAACTTCCCATGTTGGTTATATTCATAAAACTGAAAAAAACATAACATAATATAACATATGAGGTAATTTTGTATGTCTTCTCTACAACATATTGATAATATTTGCAAACAAAGCTTCCAGATAATTTAATGTTCTTAAAAGGGTAGGCAAGTACTTAAAAGATTAGGCTGACATGCAATGCTAATTATTGGTTCTTTTATATAATCAAACATTCAGCACTGTCTAGTTACTTCTGTACATAATGTACGTACCTAAACACAAAAGTATGGAGAAAAAAATATATAGGGAGGAACATTTAAATTCATAATTCATGATTAGCAAAAAAGTTCTTATGAGGAACTTCTTGGAAAATCAAAACTACCATCATAAAAATTTTTTAAGAATTAGAACTATTGTTATTGGATTCAAAATTGTCAATTAACCCTGTTAACAGAGTCCACTTTATCATGTTAATTACATGATCTAATTCAAATAAAACAAATAGAAATATTCTTTTAGGTATCAAAATACAGCCCAACGTCTACTATCTAAAGGTCATGAAGGTATTGACAACAAGGTACAGGTTAATTGAAAAACTTTTAAATAAAAAAAAAAATTAAAAGTTATGGAAACTTTGTTTTGCATCTGGAGTAAAAATTGAATTTTATGGTTTATTTTCTTTGTTACAATAATTTGTGTATTGCTATTAGAAGTATAGTTTATTCATAAATATAAAAATTAAAAATATTTGTTGCTAAACATTTTTTACTCAGTTTCCTTTGCAGCTAAAACACGGAATAATCTAGATATGCATAACCACTTTTTTACAATTAAAATAATCTTATAAACTCATGGAATGGCAGATCATATATCTCACTGCAATGCAAGCTACTAATACTTATTTCATCTTATATATGCTTTGTTACAATGTTGTACTTCTAACGGTGCTGTAACTGAATGCTTAGCTATTTAACATTTGTATGCCTGTGATTGATTGTGTCAAATTATGTATGATTATTACTTGTGCATGCTTATGTATAATGATATGTGTTCATGTCAAGTTTTATGTTTAATGTTTAGCAATGTCAGTGTAAAAGCTCAGTACAGCTTATAGTGTCTGTGTTATATACACGTCCGACTTAAAAATAAAGATATTTGTATAAAATGTATATGTTTGTTTGTATCTGGTTTCATTTCATTCTTTTGTGTCACTTTAGTCTTTTTATATACAGCCCTTGTTCCGTTTTCTAATTTAAATATCTACTGATAAAACTTTACCTCTTTCGATTTCACTTGACAAAATCGAATGAGTAAATTAATACTAGAGAATGTAAGGAAAACAACTCTTCTAAAAAAAAGGTAAACAGGAAGTGTCTAAATAATCATATTTGACAGTACAAAATCGGAAAAGATACGTCACGAATCCTGATGAAAATTAGATGAAAAAAAAACCTGGATTTAAAGTTAATCATATAAGAAAAAAAAATAAATGTCAGTGTCTGAACTATTACTTCCATGGTATGGACTAATAAAATATTTTATTTACAATGTCCAACAATAGCTTATCAATCATGTGAGGACGATCTGGATGGGGTTTACAGAATAGAGAATAATGGACAAAAATAATGAATAGAGAAAAATGAGCAAAAAATATAAAGAATAAAGAATAATAGGGAGCAAAGAAATAGAGAATTACTGTGGAATGAAAAAGAATTAGGTAATAAAATACTGATTACAGAAATGAATTGGGATCCTTACTGACCTTACCGTGTATTACATCTTCGCAAGCCAAGGGTTACGATCCAGTCCCTTCCTCTCGGCCAGAGAGAAGGGGACTGGATCGTAATCCTTGGCTAACGAAGATGACTGTATTGAGGAGTATAAACAAAATAGAAAAAATACAAAGAATGATCGCTAGATTTGTCACTAACCGACATAGAAACATCTCGATCAAGTGTTAGTGACATGTAAATTAAACTAAAAGGGAAAACCAGACAGAAGAATAGATGCACGCGCCTTTTCTCGTGTTATATTCTCATGTGGCACACGTCGTGTTGTTCATATAAGTACAAACCCGGTGCATTTTTAATTAGTTTTCTCAGTTGCAGCTAAAACATGGAATGATCTAGATCTGCATGACAACTTTTTTACGATTCAAATAATCTTATAAACTCATGCAATGACAGATCATCTCACTGTAATGCAAGCTTCTAATAGCTATTTTATCTTATTCACAAGTGATTATGCTTTGTTACAAAGTTGTACTTTTAAAGGTACTGCAACTGAGTGCTTAGCTATCTAACATTTGTATGCCTGTGTCGGTGTATGATAATAAATTGTGCATGCTTATGTATAATGATGTGTGTTCATGTCATGCCTTATGTTTAATGTTTGGCAATATACATATACTAGTATACAGTATACAACATAGAAAACTAAAGACTGAGCAATCAAACCCAACAAAAAAACCGGGAGCGATCTCAGGTGCTCTGGAAGGGTAAGCAGATCCTGTTCCATATGTGGCACCCGTCGTGCTGCTCATATACGTACAAACCCGGTGCTAAAAATGTAAGTCTAATTCAGTTGGTCACATCCAGGGAAAAATGTTAAAAAAAGGTTTCGAAAGATGATTTCAAGTTTTACTCTTAATACAGTTCAACTTATCCATGTGCAATAAAAATGACATAGACTTCAGCATGTTTACTACAAAGTACCAGTAAACATATATTTTAGGCTTACGCTTTCCCTTTCTTGGGAATGATGGTTCAACTTACAGGACAACCTTCTAGCTTTTGCTTTGCATAAACCAGAGTATTTTTCTTTCTATACAAATTATGCCTCAGTGTTAAGATCGTAGGACCAATCTTTCTTCTAAGAAAAGCTGACGATCACATTAAAAGCGTATACACCTATTACAATCGATTCGTCTGTTTTCATTGAATCTATTTATAAATAGATCGTAACCGATTATGTCGTTCTTACTCAGATTAACAATTGCGATCGAATAACATGTTCACTTTACACAGGAACCCCCACATACGTTGTGTCAATCTTTTTCAGACTAATCTTCTCTACCGGACACATGAGTCTATATATAAAAAATCGTGACAATTTTGTTTGTTTGCGATAGTTCGCTTTAACTATAAAACGGTCAAAAATAAAACGCAAAAAAAAAATAATACATTCATACAGTACATAAAAGACAGAAACAATAAAATATTGTGTAAATATTTTTTAATTACTTCTTATTATATGATCAGATGATATATTGATTCCTATTAAAATCAAGATTTTGTTTACAAGAGATGTGTTTCCGATAAAGACAAATAATATTATGCATAACATTATGTACACTCACAATTATGAAAACATTGTAAGTATGTGTTATTCACATTTTCGAGAAATCCGTTCGTAAATTAATTGACTCATCGGCATTGGCTGAATTTTGGTTCAAAACTTATATTGGCATTCGGCTGCACACTGTATAACTAAACTGGAAGAGTATGTATACAGCTAAACTCATGCATACCATCAACAACAAAATCAATAAAAGCATTAATACTCACTATGATAACTAATAGAGTAAGAAGATATATTACATATTCTGTACTGCATAAACAATCGGAAGCCAGTACATTAGATAAAGCCTAACAACTGAAGCAACATATTATTAACATTTATCCGTATCACAGTTGTATCTCAATCATTCGACGCTTCTGGATAATAATCTGGTACGGAAATAAGACGGAAAACTATCCATCTTTCTACATTTGTATTTATCCTCTTCGTCCCCTGACAGTTTTCAAATAATGCATAGGACATTTATTACATAAAAAAAAAAAAATCAGACGATCACCAGACTATATATAATATACATTAATTTCATAGATTTAATTTTACATCATGACTACTAAATCTGTTCCTTTAAAGATCATACGGCATCATTAATTTAGCGGCGGATGGTATTTCATTACGAAATAGATAAAACAGAGTGAAAATCTCTGACTGACACCTCTTATTTTGCAAATTTAGAAGTGCTTTGCATACATGTTTCTATCTCTGAAAATTGCAGGTCCTTTTACTGCGTTATAAACAACCGATAGGATCATTTGCACATTTACTTGGACCCACATCTTTATACAAATGTTTGGTGATCATATTTACTGCGCATGCGCAGTTCGTTTAAGACGGTGCCGGGGTGTCTAAATGTTTGACGATGGATTTTCTTTAGCTGCTTCTGTAAAAAAAAACTTCTGGGTCAATGTACTTTCAAATTTCAATATAAAACTGGGGGTCACGGACCTTCTTTTTTCGTTAAAATACATTGAAATTAACGAAATCCGCCCAGATATTTTGTATGGGTTATATAGGGGAAACTAAAGTTTTCCTTATTGAGGAAACATTAAACGATAGAATTGATTAAAATTCAATGAGAGAAATGCTTTTCATAGATACTTCCGAAGCATCAAATGAAAATCATTTTCTTGAAAAATCTAAAGAACACAAACTGTGCCTGTCAAATTGAGTATAATACACTTATAATTAACGACACTGAATTTTTTTATAGTTTTATCTTTAAATTTCAAGTTTTAGATATATATATAGAATATATATCTTGAGTGATACTTGGTAAAACATTTTTTTTAAACCAAAAAAGTATTTTTGCAACATGCCCAGAAGGGAAGCTCAGAAAAAAGACACCCGATTTACCTATCACTTTGATACCTTCAAATATTTCCCGCGTTTTTCAATATAATTTTTTCTCGATTGAACTGGATTCAATTTTCAATAAGGATTGTCTTAATATAAACGAACATAAGAGATAATTGTTTTTTTTATTAACGGTAGAGTAGTAAGATCTTCACACAATCATGAACTACTATATGTCATTAAGGATTTATAACTAACAATCTAATATACGTCCTTGATATCATGTAGGCAGCTTTTACTCAAACGATTCAGAACAATGTTTTTTTTTTTAATTTATGGCGTATTTATTCTTGAGATAACTTCTCTGAAGTGTGCTGCAGCATTGCCGTCTCAAGCTTGCAGTGAGGTGAGAAATTTTTTGCTCCGTGGTGAAGGCCTCCATGTGACTTTGAGATAAAGAACAGCAATAAATGCTCTATTCCTTTGCTTTTTAGTGTTTTTTATTTGCTGTGCATAAACTGATTTTGTGTCATGGATGGCTACCCATATCCTTTCTTTTCTATTAATGTAGCTGCATGACAATCGACAAATTCATGTTGCATTAATAACAGGCGTGCACTTGTTCTACATACAAGTTTGTCATGTGCGTTTTTAACAATACTTATAGTATTCTTTAATAACTATCACGATTGAAAAGTCAATGCATTGCACAAGGGGGTGGTTATAAAAATATCACATTTAACACGAATATTTCCCAAATATCCACGAATGGTTATTTGTTAAGTACTTTTTTGTGTTTTGTGTTTTATACGTATGGAACATGACAAGTAGTCATGAAAAATATAGCACTTTGTTCATAATGGTAGTAAAAATATAATTACATTATAAAAAAGAATGTCTTGATTGGCTAACTGTCACCCATGCAAATGAGATACCACGAATTCTAATATTTGTCATAAAATGCGTTGAACGATATATTTGGTGTTTATTTGTGATAGTAACTGGACGAGACTAGCATTCTACAAATTTTATACACAAAAAATGAGGAATTTTCTTCTTTGGATTTTATCCATTTCGTTGTACTATGAACTGTCGTCGGCATGGCACATGCAGTTTTCGCTACGTGATGTATTAAAAGGACAATGCAGGGACGTTTGTCCTAGAATGTGTAAAAAAGACCCTAATTCATTAAGTTCAGATTACAAGTGTGGATTTGTTTGCCAAAATGTCTGCAGTTCATCAATCAGAAAACGAAGATCAAGAAGATCTACCAGCTCGGTTTGTACAAATTGTATATATATATATACTAGTCAACAACAAAAAACGATACATAAGGTTGCACTCTAATTTATCATACAATATAATAAATAAGAAAAACTGTAATACACAGATAGAATCTGACCAAATTGGAAAGTGAGAAAATACCGTGTTTTTGAACACAGGGGTCAAATTTATTTTGCAGATAATGATGACAAAAGTCAGCACTTAATTTCGAAGATGAGAATTAAGTATTCAAATATCTGCACAGGCATTCAAAATGTTAGGCAGACCATGTTTAAGTTTAAAGTTTTAAGTTCTAATGTCGATTTTTGAATTTTGGGGTGAAAATACGATTTTTGAAATAACAAAAATTGCCAAAAAAAGTTTCGCGCATTTGCCTTAAATCAATGGTTTTGATAAGAAAATAACACTCTGTAAATATTAGACCAATTGGGAAATTATTTACCTTGGTACAGTGTATCCAATTTCATTATATATGGAAAATATATTGCCTTGTATCGTTTCTTTTGTTGACTAGTATATTATAAGATTTAGATTAATTTCAGTCGCTTCCTCAAAGACTTCTCGCAAAAGAGAACATCGTCACAATGCCTTGTATGCAGATCAAACCACAATTGCTTGCCTCTCATATATCAAGTAGTATGAAGCGTATATGACAAAAAAATAATTTTGCTTTACTTATTTCAGACAAACCATATGCACATGACACCTTTACCCAGTAAAATGAAGTTTTTCGACATTGATGACGATGGTGTTGTTAATCTTTTCGAGTTTGCACGTGCTTTAGGACATAATCCTAGAAAACAGCACGTGGTCAGAGCGTTCAAAGCTGCAGATTTAGATGGTAAGTTATTTTTATATTTGCTGTTATAAAGCTTTGAAAATCATTTTGAATTGAGACATGTATCTCCGTGATTCAAAGCTCTGATTTCTTGTCCGGGTTTGTATAGTTCTTTTCGGTTGTATATAAGCTCTTCAATGTTTTTATTAGGTTTCGGATGTTTTTTTTTGATATTTTAGCCTCGAGAGACATTATTTTTGGGGAATGTAAGCGTGGTGGGAAAAAACTATATCATTCTTTCTTTAAAATATTGCATTCTACTCGTGTTCTTCAATTTTAAATACAATGATTGTATGTATAGTATAACAAAAAAAAACAAGACAAATATAAAGTTTCTATCTAAGTAGTAACCCATTCTGTACAGAACCTGCTCCACCGTTTAATTTAGTAAATATGTACATTGCTTCACAGTACCGTACCTTATAGCATTTAATAAGTAATAAACTCATTATATTGTTTTTATTTCAGATGACGAGAAATTGGACTTTTTCGAATTTAACAATGATGTTTGGGTGACAGACCAAGATGTTGTCGATGACAGTAAGTTACGATACAGTTATAAACCATTTACTGTCGATTTATCCAAGAAGTTTGTATTTGTTTGAATTATTTCAACAAATTACATGCTTAAAACTTTTACATTTTCAAGGGTTAGAGACTACACACCAAAACTATCCCATTCGATCATGTTTAAGGGTTAGAAAATTCATATGCACCGAAAGTGAATATAGTTATATGTTTATATCGCAGAGTCATACAATATTTATTTATCTGCTATGGCATGATGCTTACCATCATGTATGACTGATCAACAGATTGTAGCAAACGTAACACGCAAGTAGAACAGGAACTACTTACCTTTTCAGAACACAGTGAGTTCACTCTTTATTGTCAATTGGGTTCATGTTGACGAATCTTCAGTTTTATGTAGTGTGTTGTGAACTGTTGTTTGCTAGTTTTTTGTCTTCCACACGGTGTTCTCTGCATTTCATCTACTATATTCCCACTATGGTCACATTGTGTCTTTTCTTATGCCGTTAATTTAAACATGTATTTTGAGGGGTACAAATTGAATTATTTGGAATTCATAACTACTGTTAGTTAGACATAAACTAAAATAAGAAATTGTATTATGTTAATGACTGTATTTGTTCTTTGCTTGAAATGGTAAACTCAAACAGTAATTTTCAAAGAGGCCCTTCATTGCTTTCAAGAGGCAACCGTAGTTTACCGATGTAAAATGTCGTGAATGCATTTTGAATATACAAAGCAAGATGAAAAAGAACTGAGAGAATCACAAACTACAAACAGAGCAAGATTGACAAAAAAACTGGTCAATAATAGTATTGAACAGGCTGGTGGGAAATACCGGGAATACTGGGAAATAATGGTCATTTGTAATCGTGATAGCACAATTTTAGAGCCTTCTCGTCGGGTATTTGATTATGTGATTACTTGGCCGTTTTTATAGTGATTATTTAATTACCAGACCAAATATTTCATGATTATTAGCTTATTCGATAATCTAAGACTGTGTTTTTGATTATTTGATTATCTTTGTTTAACAAAATAATTAATGATTATATGATTATATTGGCAAAAAAATTGTGATTATGTGATTACTTGAACACCCCCTTGAGGGGCCTCATTTTATTCTAGAAAATGATATGTTTTAAATAAATTTGGTCTATGTGATCACTTTTGTTTCTTTTTGACGAAATACATGTACATGAAAAGTTCATGCTTAACTTTCATTTTGATTCTTCAGGTTTTATTCAGATTTTTTGTGCATTAAACAATCCAGTGCCAGGTCTTCAAAATGATACAATTAAAAAAAAACTTTTTTGACTGACACATTTATCTACTTTTCACTTTTAATAAAAATTTTATGTATGGCGGAGTAAAACATTGAGCGGTATATATTCTCACGAGCATTTCAAATGTATTAATAATAAAAAAAAAAAACAGTATGGAATTCTGTGCTGTCAGTTAGATTAAATGAAACTTATTACCCATTTGAAAGTCATACGATAACCTAAAATTGCTAACATCCATGGAATTTGGACTCTGATAAATAGTTGTCTAATAGGCAATCATATGGCATCTCCTTATTTTTATACTCAGTCTATTACATAAATCAAATAATAAAACTTAAAGTTTGTATTTCGATCTATTGCCACCCGTCTTATTAAGGTTGCAGTGGTATATTTTGGTCGATGGTATTATTGATAAATCATTGTATAGCGTTGTATATCAAATAAACAGTAAAACGTGTTAAAACTGACAATAATAAACTGATAACATCGTTATACTGTAATGACATGTATGGTAACCTGTCACTTGTTATAGGTTTTACATTGCAACGCAGCGATCGCGACCGTACTAGAATCTTAACAAACTAATTGTATGAGTAACTACTTTTTTGCCGATTAATGACGCCTTGTTCTAGTGGGTGTGTTTAATAATATAATGTTATAATAAAAAGGAGGAATGCAGATCAAAACTGAGAAAAATCAGTTTGCAATTGCTTGGGTACAAACTTAGTCAGAAAGAGTCATGACCATTTAAATCAAATACATGCTATTTTACAATATGGGATATCAAACACATAGCTTTTTTTTCTTTCTTTTAATGACAATTTAAAGATTCAGTTTCAGTATATAATGACAAGTATTGCCGTAAAACTGTTATTTAAAATGTACATGATGTATAAATGTATCATATCTTTGAATATTCGTGTCCATAATTTTTTCCATAATTTAGGTCACGAAGAATTGCCAGTCATCAAAGGGACTTGTCAATATTTTTATTTCTTGACATGCACGTATTTGGGGGAATTTCCCTCAAAAAATATATATATATATAAGACATGTATAAACACTTTTATATACGATTTACAGAAGTAGTATTAAGAGGGTAACACATTTTTATGATTTAGATATATTTTTCAGGACGGTATAATTTCTTAATCTAAACATAAAATACCGTGTTAGGCCAGCACAATAAGACTCAAAAACATAAAACATAAAAACCTTATTTTTGACACACAAAAGAAAATTCTTCTTCTTAAAGCTATGGTAAATACACATCCGACAACAAATAGAATTAAATATAAAATATATCCTTTGACTGAAATAAAATCACTGGCAATTTTAAATTAAAAAAAACACAAACATAGTCTTGTCAAACTTCATAGCTGTTCAAGACTTTTGCATTGTCATCTCTTATATGAGTATATTATAGGTTGCATTGTTCATTTAAACGAATTAAGGATGTGCAAAAAAGTCATTTAACATTGGCACCCTTTTTCTTTCAAAAGTTATGAAAAAATAACAAGGATTTAATTTCATATTCAAATATGGCTTTTTAAAATATATGTAATAAAATTATGAAAAGAAAAGTAGAGGTTAGCAGGGAAATTTTTTTAATGGCACTACATGGATAAAATCAGAGGATTCCGAATATCTGGCAAAAATTCAAAAACAAGAAGAGCGAACATCCTTAAGGTTGTATAATATAATGAATAAAAAGGGGAATACAACAACATAATCAATATAACCTATTTGGAATTGTTTAAATAAAAAAAAGAAATGAAATATATATAGTCTTCAAATAAACGGTTGGCGCCGGTTAAAACGTTTAAACCCGCTGCATTTGTTTGTACTTATCCTAGGTCAGGAAACTGTTGTTCAGTGGTTGTCGTTTGTTGGTGTGATTCATAGTGTTTCTCGTTTCTCGTTTTTATATAGACTAGACCGTTGGTTTCCCCGTTTGAATGGTTTTACACTAGTAATTTTTGGAGCCCCATATAACTTGCTGTTCGGCGTGAGCCAAGGCTCCGTGTTGGAGTCCGTACTTTGACCTATAATGGTTTACTTTTACAAATTGTTACTTGGATAGAGAGTTGTCTCATTGGCACTCATATCACATCTTCTTATATATCTATCTACATAAAATCATCGAATATCGAAGGCTATGTGTTTTCTTTTAATTATAGTAAAACATTTTAGTTCGTGTATATACTCAAGACATGCTTATGACCGAACATATTTGTTATAAAAGCTTACATTGTATTATAATATCCTAGATCATTCAACTTTCGATGAACTAACACGGTAACTTATGTTTATTATTTTTTTTTTGAAAATCATTTTGTTCATCAAAATATCCCTAAATCATTAAATGATGAGACTCTGTCGATGCTATTTCAGTAAATATGTTAATACGAATGTTACTACATTTCTTGCATATTGTTACATTGTATTGAGGAAAATTCATTCCCCAAATAGTTCATGTTTGGAAATAAAAATATCAATTAGTCGCTCTGATGACAATTATTTGGAGGATTACTGTGGATTCATTTATTTTCGTGGGTACAAATTTTCGTGGATTGGGGAAAACTTGGTTTTTTCGTGGATATGTGATTTCGTGGTTTTGCCATATTCTGCATACAACCTGATAGTAAATTTGTAATTCGTTGAACATTTGAATTCGTGTTTCACCTGTATCCACGAAAACCACGAAAATTGGTATCCAACGAACAATAATGAATCCACAGTACTATAAAACAAAAGCACGAGGGATTTTAATGATCAAACATGTGATAATATAATTTACGAATTATGTATCTAATTAGTTCAAATTTTAAGATTCCGTTGTTTTGCCATAAATAAAACAATAAAAACATCGTAATTGAAGGTTTATCATCGCTTAATTATTTGTTATGCAAAAGTTTCAAGTCATCTGAAATTTATTCAAATCTATATTGGCCTAAATGAGAAGAAATGTTAAAAATCTCTAATATATCAGAATACCAAATGTATTTAAGATTTATGAAAATATGGCACACTTCACAAATCTTTATTTTGCGAAAAAGATTAACCCAATACCGAACGCATATATATGCATTTTGTAATTGTTAAAATACTTGTCATTCCTTGATTTCCTTATTTCTGGTCATACGTTTTCCACAGTTATGTACATACCTTTGTTATCGACATTAAAACAAGTAATTATAGTTGCATAATTATATCTATCTAGTATTAATAAATGTCATGTCATTGGTAATTATTGACTGTTTTATTATTACCATAAGTAGAAACGAATAACTGGTCAAAATGTATTAATCTTGTTCTGGTCTCACGATGCTAACAATCCATTTGTATGTGTCAACAAATTATCGGAAACATGTTTACGTACAACAATCTTTTTATTATACATGTTAAAAATAAAGTATCGACAGTTATGTAGTTACCTCTAGACAAAAATATGTTCATTTCTTTCAATTTTGAACCCAAACATTTGTTAATATTTTCTTTTAAAAATTTAAAAATCCAAATAAAATACGAAGTTAAAGAGCATTGGGGACCCAACTTTTCGAAAGTTTTTGTCATTTATATTGATGTATAATAACAAAAAATCATACGCATGCAGGAAATTGATCGAAATTATTCAAGTAATAATAGTAACTAAAACAAATTAAAATGTTTAAACCCGCTGCAATTGTTGCACCTGTCCTAAGTCAGGAATCTGATGTTCAGTAGTTGTCGTTTGCTGATGTGGTTCATAAGTGTTTCTCGTTTCTCGTTTTTTATATAGATTAGACCGTTGGTTTTCCCGTTTGAATGGTTTTACACTAGTAATTGTTTGGGCCCTTTAAAGCTTGCTGTTCGGTGTGAGCCAAGGCTCCGTGTTGAAGACCGTACTTTGACATATAATGGTTTACTTTTATAAATTTTGACTTGGATGGAGAGTTGTATCATTGGCACTCATACCACATCTTTTTATATTTAAATAACAGGAACATAATAAAGGTTAATTAATTAAAAAATAAATTCCTTATGAAATAAAAATATAAACTTATGTTTATAATATATCCATTGACGAAAAAGAAAAAAAACCTACAAAAATAAACCAAATTACGCAATCAAATAATTGATTTAACTTGTGGATTGTTTTCTTACATTAATATAAATGAAATTGTGGTTTGATTGACACCGCTACTATTGTTATACAGTAGTAATAGAGTAATAGTGGTATCGGAGTGACATATTTGAAAAGATTAATATGCCAGGAACATTAAGTTTAAATTTACTCTATAGATACTTAACATTCCGACATTATACGACGTATTGGCCCGTTTACGACATGTATGCTTATCCCCAGGTGTTTGTTGTGACATGAGCACATTTGGTGTTTTCTATGTATGTCGTTTTTTTGGGGTAAACATGATACCTTGGTATATTCTTGACACTTCATATATTTGTTAATGTGGAAAGTGATCCATTTCGTATTCACTAAATAACACGGAAATGTTTGCTACATCAAAACAATGTTTACACCAATAAAACAATTAACAAGGCAACATGCTTAGTTATTTACATGTAAACAAACAATAATGATTGTTCTGTGGGAGGTCTATGTATTAACAGTATGATTAACCAATGTCCGCACGATTTTTATCATATTATTGTCAATATCATGGAACCCAATTATGCATACATATAAAGTCCTGAACATAAATTTAAATCTGGAAAAATATCAAAGCAAATGTGTTACAAGGATAGTCAAATCATGTAGAATCCATACAAATAACATGACCGAACAAATGGAGTCTCAAAATGTGTTTGGAATTTTGAAATACTGTCATTAATTTAAGAATTGGAGATAAAGTGGCAAACATTATAATACAAAACACCTTATCCGATACCTATACAAATTCAGAACAACCCTAGTTTGTATGTACTTGTCCCACTTTTTATATTCGGGTCTGGGCATTTAAAAAATTAAACAACAAAACAAAACAACAACTTTACTAATTTATCCAGTTGGAACTTAATAAAAAAATCAGGCTAATTCTCCTCTGACGTATGCAGACCAATACAGTGTTGGGTCCATCCTCCATTGCGGCTTCCTATATATTTGTTGGCACATTTTGAAAAAAAATATTTCTCAGCAGTGGTGCAACTTACAATTTATGAATTTCTAAACTTTAACGTTAGAAATCACTGAAACTGAGATGAATGACAGTTTTACATGCATTATTTACCACTTAAATGACAAAAGTCTTCATATCTTTTTCATGGATGTATGTGATTTGAACATCGGTAAACTACTGTTGCCTCCAATACATACATTTTGAACAAATGTAATATCTTTTTATTCCAGATTATGAATTTGAAATAAATGAGGACACGTTTGATTCCGAATTTGACGAAGACAGTGATGAGTCAAGCGGAAAAGGAAGTGATTCCGACGATACCAGTAGTGATTCATCAAAAGATGATAGCGACGATAGTAGTGATAGCAGTGACGACAGCAAAGACTCTGATAGCGATAGCAGTGATGATAGCAAAGATTTTGATAGCGATAGCAGTAAAGATAGCAAAGATTCTGATAGAAAGGGTAGACGAAGAGGTAAAAAAGGCTCGAAAAAAGGAAGAAAAAGCGATAGAGACGGCGATGGTGTCGATAGTATGGATGTTGATGGCATTGATGGACCTGACGGACTTGATGGATTTGACATGCCTGCCATTGATATGCCTGAGGCAGGGGGTGAAATGATGGAAAACTTTGGCGAAATTGGAGAACAAATGAGAGAAGGATTTGAAAACATTGGTGGTGATATGGCTGATGGTATGGGGGATATTGGAGATGCAGTTGGCGATGGAGTTGATGCCATGAAAGACGCAGCTGGCGATGGAGTCGATACAATGGGAGACGCAGTTGACGGAATGAAAGACATATTGGATGATACAGCTGATGCTATGACAGGTGGTGTCAACGATGCTGTTGACGGAATGACAGATGCTATGGGTGGTGTGGTAGATGCAGCAGCAGACGGAATGGACGCAGCAGCAGACGGAATGGACGCAGCAGCAGACGTAGTTGATAACATAGTAGATGGTATGACCGACAACAGCAATCTAGCTCTAGCAGCAATGACCTCATCTGGTTCAGGCATGCCCCCTCCACCACCAATTAATGTAGCTGGTGACTCGTTTGTTCAACCTATTTCTGCCGGAGTGGTATCTAATAATATTGGATCATCTATCACGTCCGGAAGTGATGACAGAACGTCATTAAACTCGATGAACATTTTAAGAACTTCCGTTGATGAACAAACGTCCAGCACTGCAGGTAACCGTGTTGCGCGATGGCAAAAAGTTGCACGGACACGCAATATGCTGCTGCCGCCAAGGGATCTTAGCAAAGGACAACCAGGTCCACGCGTTAGCGATGACTCCATGACAACGTCTTTTGTGAGAACGCCACCACCGGATGGCTTTGGTTTATTTAGAAGCGTAGCTCCGATCAGAGTGCGTGTACCGGCATTTGCAAACTTCGGAACGCAAGGGTAGCCAGAAATCTTTTCTCTTATTTAAACTATCTTAGCAATTTTGATTAAAAGATAGAATAGATTTTTGATAACGCTATATTTGATTCAAAAACAAACACAACAAATCATTAAAAAATAGAAATTCGAAATAACTGAAGAAAAAAAAATTGTTAAGGAAATATAATGCGGAAACTGTAATATAAACAGTATAATTATTACTTTGTTTATTACCTCCCCTTTTTGATTTCAGCCTTGTGTTCATGCGTCGTTATTTAGGTTTTTGTATATGTGTAATGATGCGTTTTGTCGAAGGTAACTGTTACATTTACCGTTTTGTATTGAGTGCTGTGTTACGTTTGTTCATCGCTAATGTTCTTATTGTTATGTGAATCGTTCAGTGTCATGTGTTGTTAAAAGTGGGATTGCGGGGCTTAAGCGCGTATTTTGTCTGGCTAAAGCTTTTGTTCCATTTTTCTTAAAAAGTTCCACATTTTTGTCTTTTTATTCCGAAATTCTCACTACATACTTTGGAGTGAACATGTTTCATTTCTTTCTTCATAAGAGTTGACCATACAACATCTTGGAATAATAAGATTACTCTATCTATTGCACTCAAAAGTGGTAAACGTTTAATTGCAAACACTTGCTCTAAACATTTTACATGTTATAGTTTTATAGAAATACAATGTTAAATTACATATTAAAGTTATTTTTGTATAAATATGCTGCATTAGCAATAAAGTTAGCAAGATAAAAAGAAATGTTTAGCAATTTTTATTTTACATCCGCAATGAATGAAATTAAAAATAAGATACGGAATCAGTCAGTTGTAGATTTAAATCCTTAATTGGAAAAGCTTCTGATAAATGTTTTTTTTTTTTATAATACTTAGACTCTTGCAATAAGGCATTCTAACTGACATTGATTCTTTATCGTTGTAGGTGTCGCTTAGTTTTGGGTGTCCATGTGCATGAACAACCGGATGTAAATGGACGAAGAAAGAAGTTTTTACTACAAAGTCACTTAAAATCGTTTATATTTAATATCATTTTTCCATTAAATGAAGAGACGTATAATTTCATACAAAATTAATGTTTTTTTTTTGTTTTAATAGCCATGGACACCCATACTACTGTGTACCGAGAAATACTTTTGTTGTTTTTATAGTTTTAATTTTTTATCAGTCTTAAAGAGTCTGGAAACCTCTGCTAGGTGAACATTACTGAACACAAAATGTCTTTCTGTATATAATTACATGAAATTTGTATATAACTAAAAATCTAAAAACAAATTGAAATAAACATCAACAATAACCCAGCGTCTTACATCGAAAACTATTTCAGATTTCTCGATATACAGTAGTAAGTTGATCCAGACTCGAAATCTACTGTTACTTACATGAGCAACACGACGGGTGCCACCTGTGGAGCAGGATCTGATTACCCTTCGGGAGCACCTGCGATCACACCTGGTGTTTTGTTGCTCAGTCTTTCTATGTTGTGTTTTGTATACTGTTGTTTGTCGTTTGGTTGATTTTGTTATATGCCATCGCAATTGTCGGTTTGTTTTCGACTGATGAGTTGGATTATCCCTATTATATCTTTCGACACTCTAACTTATCATTATATGTCCTGGACTTTTAAGCATAACATTTCAAAGGCAATAACACTTCTATGGGATTAATTGACGAATTCAGTCCATGAACACATTGGTGGATTTAATTTACTGAACACTTTTGCTGTTTAAAATTTCTCTTTATCTATAATAGTTTTTAAGAAAACAACCAAAAACTGGGAAATCTCATAAAATTATTATTTCAGGGGCAATAAATCCACACTGGGTTGTCGGATTCGTCTAAACATTTCCTCACTTATAGATCTTGACCTGCTGATCATGTTTTCTCAGTTTTGCTCTCACTGTTTCAGTTTTTGAGATGTAAGCAAAAAAAAACTGCATTTTATGTCTATGTCCTATTTGTAGCCATGGCGGCCATGTTTGTTGACTGAATGGAATAAATAACACAAACTTTATTCTTAGTACCATAAGGATCACATCCCAAGTTTTGTTAAATTGGTTTTGTAGTTTCAGAGAAGATCTTTGAAAAAGTATACGACGACGACGACGACGACAACGGACGACGAAAGACGACAAACTACGACGGACGACGACGACGGACGCCAAGTGATGGTAATAGCTCAAATGGCCCTACGAGCCAGGTTATCGAAAAAAGGACTGAACTATTGTTTGAATTTTCGGGTTTTTCTTTGCTTTTACTTTTTCATTTGTTAGACCACGGGATAAACTGTGTTCCTTCGAATTAAGGATGAGGTTTTGCTATCATATTATTTTCTAACTATGAGTAAGATTTTATTGTGAAAACAGTCGCAGTAACTTGTGTTTACGGAAGCCCATTTAGGACCTCCAGAAAATATAATTTGAATTCGATATCACGTATTTAAATTGTTATCACGAATTCTAGAATTCGTTATCACAGATTAAATTCGCTATAACGAATTTGTGGAATTAGTTATTACAGTTTTTGTAATTCGTAATAACGGATTAAATTCGTTATGACAATTTTTTGTAATTCGTGATAACGAACTTTATAATTCGTTATTACGGATTAAAATCGTTTTCACGAATTTGTGTAAATTGTTATCACATTTTTTTTTGTAATTCGTGATTACTGATTAAATTTGTTATCACAGATTATTGTAATTCGTGATAATGGTTTAAAATCGTTATAACAAATTGTGTAATTTGTGATAACGGAGTAAATTCGTTATAACTATTTCTACGAATTTGTGATAACGAATTTAATCCGTTATAACCATTTATGACATTCATTATAACGATTTTAATCCGTTATCACGAATTACCAAAAAAAAATGTGATAACAAATTCTACGAATTCGTGATAACGAATCAATCCGTTATAACTATTTATACAATTCGTTATCACGATTTATAACATTCGTTTTACGATTTTGATCTGTTATCTCGAATTACAAAAATTTGTGATAACGAATTTAATTCGTTATAACGAATTGCAAAAACTGTTATAACTAATTCCGGAAATTCGTTATCACGAATTTAATCTGTTATAACGAATTCTTCAATTCGATTTCGAATTCAAATATATATTTTTAGGAGGTCCTAAATTGGCTTCCGTATATGTTGCATATGTCTTCCATGAGTACAAATCAGTCCCGCCCTTAAGATTCGCAAATTGTATTTCGTTTTTCTGTCCTTGGTAGTGTTAATTGATATTTCACGGTGTATTCTTTAATAACAATCTTGCTCTAATACTCCTCTTGTCTAAACCTGTTTATAAGAATAGACATAATATGGATAGAGTGGATACATAGATGACACGTTCAACCGAATTGCGGAATTCACAGCTGTATATTAGAAAACGATTAGAGAAACAACAATTACGATGCTGCTCCTTATTTTGTCAGTTGAAGTAAGGTTGACAACACGTATGTTCAGTTTGAATAATTCCGTAGAGGTCGAGTTATAAATTTTTGTTCGAGCTTTTGACCTGTTTTTTTTCAAAATTGATATCAAGTTCAATGCGCAGATTCATATATCAGATTCGTTTGAAATAAAAAATATAAAACATTTACATGCAAGACATAAAGAATTTACCAAAAAGGTCAAAGAGTCAAACACCGTATACTACAAAAGTAGAAAGATGTGGTATGATTGCCAATTAGACAACTCTCAACCAGAGACCAAGGCTAGCAACTATACGTCAAAGTACGGCTTTCAACAATGAGCAAAACCCTATCTCATTGCAAGCTATGGTATTTTTATCAGAGGAATTTAAAATCATGCTTATTCCATATCACTATCTACTGGAATAATGATACCTGCAGACTCTGAACGGGTACCGGCAGCGATACCGCCACAGTTATCTGAGACTACAAAATGGAGATCAATTACAGAAGGCTGAACGACCATTCCCTTTTTTAATACTTCAATGGAAAAACTACAACAGATAAATATAAAGTGTTAGTCTGCTCAATACGGCACATGTACAAATTTGGATCACGGTTACGTGTTTAATTTTCCCATCAAAATATTAATATATATGAACACAATAATCTCATTGCTCAAAATTGTCTACAGGCTGTACATATAAAAGTTTCATATGACTTTAATAAATAATTTTATAAAAGTAAACCGATTACAGTGTTCAACTGAAACCTCAGAAGTGACAGATTTTAATTTTTATTGATGCTAGTTGAAAACTTTTTAATGTAAATGTTTTAATGTAAGAAAAAAAGAAATGTAAATTCCATAATCAACAGATTACTGACAGTAAATGCAAACTTTAAACTAAACCATAATGAAGTTCTATGGCTATACAAACAAAACATAAATCAATAAAATTATCTGCAGTGCGCAGCTTGATACGCCCGCGGAGGTCGAAACCCTAATCAATTGGGACAAGTATGGACAGTACATTCAAGCTTGATACCGCTCTGAATTTGGATTGTGATTAAATATTTGACACAGCATAAGTTTCTGACACAGAATGAAAGTGGTCGAAGAACTGAAATAATTTAAATTGGACTTTTACCTTTTATGACCTTACCACGAAGTTCTTTAAAAAAAATTGATTGACGGGCCCAAAATCCAAAATCTAAATACACGGCTAGATTTAGCATATTAAAGAACGTCAAGAATTTGAGGCTTTGGATTAAACAACATTGACATTGGTCAAGAAATCAGCAATTTATACAAAGTATTAGAAAAATATTGTTTCAGCCCCTTTTTCCTTAACAGTTAGGACAATAACCCCCAAAATCAATCCCAACCTTCCTTTTTTTGATATGGAACCTTGTGGTACAATTTCATAAAATCTAAAGACTTATAGTTATTGTCCGGAAACCAGAAAATCCTAGTTTTTTTGCCTCTTTTTAGCCCCTAATTCCAAAACGGTTTGGGCCTTAACCACCAAAATCAATCCAACCTTTCTTTTGAGGTATGGTACCTTGTGGTACAATTTCTTAGAGATCAATACACTTATACACAAATTATTGTCATGAAACATGACAAATGCTTGCTTTTGGCCCCTAATTCTCAAAACAGTTAGGACAATAACACCCGAAATTAATCCCAACCTTCCTTTTGTGGTATGGATCCTTGTGGTACAATTTCATAGAGATCCATATACTTATTATCAAGTTATTGTATGGAAACCACAAGTCTTTGGACGACGACGACGACGCTGACAACGTCATAACATTATACGACAGCAAAATGTTTACGGTCGTATAAAAATGCCACTCATTGTTTTAAGGAGCAAAGACACTGCAGTAAGCTCGGATCTGAATAATGTGTCCAGGTAGGGTGACTTGTCTTCTTGCAAACCTTGACAACTTGCATGTTAAAAATCTTGTTCAGCGTGGTCGGTCAAGTACAAAGCAGGATTTATAATCAAATCACATGATATCGTTTCTTTGTCCTGATATGCCACACCCGTAGCCAGGTGGGGGGGGGGGGGGGGGGGAGGAGTTCGTGGGGTTCATACGAACCCCCCCTTGAAAACAAATAATCACTGTTAAAGTCGACGTTCTGTTTGAATTGTAAGCGTTAAAGTTGAGGGTGATTGTATCGAACCCCTTGGAAATTCCTGGCTACGGGCCTGTATGCATAATTTGTCACTGGACGTTAAACACTTCATCATCTTGAAAAAGAGAAAACAGTTCCTATATATATGTGTCCTAACAGTTGCACATCATATGTTACATTAAAACGGTCATGTGAATCATGACTGTAATAGATTGATTGTTGCCAGTATACTAACGTTCAGTGGAATTTAATAAAAACTATATGAAACACTAACAACATGACTAAATCGGAAAATAATTTTGTGTTTATTTATAATACATACAAATAATCTGTTTACACATATGTTGTCTCTTTTTTGAAATGCTCATAAAGTCATAACACTAATAATGTTTTTCAGCATGCATACAAAAAGGATATTTGTACAAAAACACAGAAATAACAAGTCAACGCACTCGTGTCTTGTGTCACTATATATATATATATATATATATGTATACGCATTGTTACGAGTGTATCGTTATCTCAGTAAAATTGTTAAGTTTATCTCTCATTTGTACTTCTTTTTTTCTTTTTTGTATTTGACGTGTCAAAGTTCATCATGTTTAGGTACGAATTCATCAAAAGTTATTATTTTGTCTTTGTTTTTATCGTAGCTGTCCATGAATGTTTGCACCGTCCTTTTGAAATCTTGATCGTCCTGATTCAACCCTTTACTTGACAAAAATTTTGATACCTACAATAGAAAAAAAACAACATACAATAAGATATACATAGTATCTTAATTTTGTCTTTATTTGTATGCCCCACCAAGGGGTATTATGTTTTTCGGTCTGTTCGTCCGTCCGTCTGTCCCGCTTCAGGTTAACGTTTTTGGTCAAGGTAGTTTTTGATGAAGTTGAAGCCCAACTTAGTACACATGTTCCCTATGATACGATCTTTCTAATTTTAATGCCAAATTAGAGTTTGGACCCCAATTTCACGGTCCACTGAACATAGAAAATGATAGTGCGAGTGGAGCAACCGTGTACTATGGACACATTCTTGTTATTAAATGAGTCTGTTTAAACCTATTCAGAAAATACATTAGCTGATATGACCTCTAAAGACAGCTTTCTATGACTATCAGTAGTGTTTTCTTTATATTCTGAAGTCAAAAAAAAAAAAAAAAAAAAAAAATGAAACAGATGAATATAACAAAAATCTGAAAAATTGTTGCATCGAAAGTTAGATTTAGTACGAAAAAATAAATGCCTTCATATACCTTCGTCGAAAGACACGTTTAGAATATACAGACATTTCATTTTGTGAATTGCCAAATATGGACATCATTAGGGTAATCACTATTACTGTGAATATCTCATTGATAATGGTAAAGACATGCATGTCTTGTATTCCAAGAATCATGTTAATTTTATGCGGCATCTGCGCACAGATTCAATATAATTTCAAAAAAAAGTTTAACACAAATTTGAAAATATATTCTTTAGATAACATAGTACAGATACCTTAATTGTTTCTATCTACATGATCTACCCAAGTACAAAGTCGGAATTCTTCCATTATATTCTGGGGATTTTTAATATACTCGCTTACAATTGTGTACGTCAGACGCACGTTTCGTCTCCAATAGGACTCATCAGTGACGCTCGAATAAATAAGAAGATGTGGTATGAGTGCCAATGAGACAACTCTCCATCCAAGTCACAATGTGTAAAAATTTAACAATTATGGATGAAAGTAAGGCCTTCAACACGGAGACTTGGCTCACACCGAACAGCAAGCTATAAAGGGCCCTAAAATGACTAGTGTATAACAATTCAAACAGGAAAACCAACGGTCTAATCTATATAAAAAACGAGAAACGAGAAACACTTATGAACCACACCAACAAACGACAACCACTGAAAAACAGGCTCCTAACTTTGGACAGGTGCATAAAAATGCAGCGGGTTTAAACGTTTTGATAGGCGCCAACCTTCACCCTAACCTGAAACAGTGGTATAACATTACAACATAAAAAGACACACAATAAAATATCAATTGAAATTAATGGCTTAACTCGATCAACAAGAAAATACACAAAAACAAGTAAATATACACTGAACGAATAAGTTTGATCTATGACACAATATAAATAAAAAAGATGTTTCAATGTCAAAAAGACAACTTGTCCATTTATTTGTAAAGGACATAGATATTAACTTACAATTTGGAAATGATAGAGTTTCTGTTATGATCGTGGTAAAATAAAGGAAGCTTTGGAATATTTCCTAAAAGTTCATTAGCAGATCAACTATTCCGGATAAGGCTTATTGATTTTACATGCTTCATACAGAGATTTCTCACTTGTACCTTTGCCGGAAATTAAACAAAGTGGGTTTAAAATGTTAACTGACCTAGTGATTTGTCTACCAATGTCGCTATTCTAAGATTTTCGGTGTTGATCGTATATGATCGTATATATTATTGCTTTTAAAAAGATGAGTTTTGTTTAAATAAACCTATTATTGAATTTAGTTGTGATCTTCTATAATTGACTACTTGTATATATTGATTAAGCACGTGACATTTTTAGAAGGACGAATGGTATCGTTTTATTCATGTGTCAGTCATGAGAAACATATACATGATATATATATATATATATATACAACGCTACAAGATTGGGACAAGAGATAACACAATTACCTGTAATACAAATAACATTCATACAGATCATTGAACACTGTGATATGAGATCATGTCAAATTTTCGCGTAAATCGTGTATTAATAGACCCTGTCTATTGTTGAACTGTACTTTGACCTCTAGATGTTTTTGATTATTTGTGTGGTCGGGTTGCTGTCTCATTGGTTATAACCCCGCATATCCTTTTACTTTACTAATGAATTGTTTACCATCATTGGCAATTTTTGTTTTTCACAATTCAATCTGTAGATGCATAACATTTAATGAAATCCTTACCTCTTTAAATGTTACTTTTTTATTCCCATTAGTATCCATTTCCTCAAAAACTTTTGCAAGACTAGTTGCTTCATCTTCCTCACAGACTGAGAATGCTATTAATGAACATAGTATTGCAGCAATTAGAAGACACGACTTCGTAATCATTTTAATGTTATGTACATCTAAAAATATCAATAATCTTAATACTTAACTACACGTGTATCTTATCACACATTTACAAGTACCTTATGAACTAGCACACTTATAATGTACTAATAGATAAAGATAAAATATTATAGATATACATGTACATGTTATGTTTAATAGAAAAAAGTGTAATAGAAAATTTTATCTACTTTTCTAATTAACCTTTTGTCGAGAAATTACCAATTTTTCTTCTGGCCTAAGAACAGAACATCAAATATAACTAAAGACATTACATACCTGATCACACGTGAAAGTAGTTGCATTGGGAAATAAGGGGGGAGTGAAAGGAGTTGCATTGGGAAATAAGGGAGGAGTGAAAGGAGTTGCATTGGGAAATAAGGGGGAGTGAAAGGAGGTTGCATTGGAAAACAAGGGGGAGTGAAAGGAGTTGCATTGGGAAATAAATAAGGGGGGAGTGAAAGGAGTTGCATTGGAAATAAGGGGGGAGTGAAAGGAGTTGCATTGGGAAACAAGGGGGGAGTGAAAGGAGTTGCATTGGGAAACAAGGGGGAGTGAAAGGAGTTGCATTGGGAAATAAGGGGGGAGTGAAAGGAGTTGCATTGGGAAACAAGGGGGAGTGAAAGGGGTTGCATTGGGAAATAAGGGGGGAGTGAAAGGAGTTGCATTGGGAAATAAGGGGGGAGTGAAAGGAGTTGCATTGGGAAACAAGGGGGAGTGAAAGGAGTTGCGTTGGGAAATAAGGGGGGGGGGAGTGAAAGGAGTTGCATTGGAAATAAGGGGGGAGTGAAAGGAGTTGCATTGGGAAATAAGGGGGGAGTGAAAGAAGTTGCATTGGAAATAAGGGGGGAGTGAAAGGAGTTGCATTGGGAAATAAGGGGGGAGTGAAAGGAGTTGCATTGGGAAATAAGGGGGGAGTGAAAGGAGTTGCATTGGGAAATAAGGGGGGAGTGAAAGGAGTTGCATTGGAAAAAAGGGAGAGTGAAAGGAGTTGCATTGGAAATAAGGGGGGAGTGAAAGGAGGTTGCATTGGAAATAAGGGGGGAGTGAAAGGAGTTGCATTGGGAAATAAGGGGGATGTGAAAGGAGTTGCATTGGGAAATAAGGGGGAGTGAAAGTAGTTGCATTGGGAAATAAGGGGGGAGTGAAAGGAGTTGCATTGGGAAATAAGGGGGGAGTGAAAGAAGTTGCATTGGAAATAAGGGGGGAGTGAAAGGAGTTGCATTGGGAAATAAGGGGGGAGTGAAAGGAGTTGCATTGGGAAATAAGGGGGGAGTGAAAGGAGTTGCATTGGGAAATAGGGGGGAGTGAAAGGAGTTGCATTGGGAAATAAGGGGGGAGTGAAAGGAGTTACATTGGGAAATAAGGGGGGAGTGAAAGGAGTTGCATTGGAAAAAAGGGAGAGTGAAAGGAGTTGCATTGGAAATAAGGGGGGAGTGAAAAGAGTTGCATTGGGAAATAAGGGGGGAGTGAAAGGAGTTGCATTGGGAAATAAGGGGGGAGTGAAAGGAGTTGCATTGGGAAATAAGGGCGGAGTGAAAGAAGTTGCATTGGGAAATAAGGGGGGAGTAAAAGGAGTTGCATTGGGAAATAAGGGAGAGTGAAAGGAGTTGCATTGGAAATAAGGGGGGAGTGAAAGGAGTTGCATTGGGAAATAAGGGGGAGTGAAAGGAGTTGCATTGTGAAATAAGGGCGGAGTGAAAGGAGTTGCATTGGGAAATAAGGGGGGAGTGAAAGGAGTTGCATTGGGAAATAAGGGGGAGTGAAAGTAGTTGCATTGGGAAATAAGGGGGGAGTGAAAGGAGTTGCATTGGGAAATAAGGGGGGAGTGAAAGGAGTTGCATTGTGAAATAAGGGGGGAGTGAAAGGAGTTGCATTGGGAAATAAGGGGGGAGTGAAAGGAGTTGCATTGGGAAATTAGGGGGAGTGAAAGTAGTTGCATTGGGAAATAAGGGGGGAGTGAAAGGAGTAGCATTGGGAAATAAGGGGGGAGTGAAAGAAGTTGCATTGGAAATAAGGGGGGAGTGAAAGGAGTTGCATTGGGAAATAAGGGGGGAGTGAAAGGAGTTGCATTGGGAAATAAGGGGGGAGTGAAAGGAGTTACATTGGGAAATAAGGGGGGATTGAAAGGAGTTGCATTGGAAAAAAGGGAGAGTGAAAGGAGTTGCATTGGAAATAAGGGGGGAGTGAAAGGAGGTTGCATTGGAAATAAGGGGGGAGTGAAAAGAGTTGCATTGGGAAATAAGGGGGGAGTGAAAGGAGTTGCATTGGGAAATAAGGGGGGGGTGAAAGGAGTTGCATTGGGAAATAGGGGGGAGTGAAAGGAGTTGCATTGGGAAATAAGGGGGGAGTGAAAGGAGTTACATTGGGAAATAAGGGGGGAGTGAAAGGAGTTGCATTGGAAAAAAGGGAGAGTGAAAGGAGTTGCATTGGAAATAAGGGGGGAGTGAAAAGAGTTGCATTGGGAAATAAGGGGGGAGTGAAAGGAGTTGCATTGGGAAATAAGGGGGGAGTGAAAGGAGTTGCATTGGGAAATAAGGGCGGAGTGAAAGAAGTTGCATTGGGAAATAAGGGGGGAGTAAAAGGAGTTGCATTGGGAAATAAGGGAGAGTGAAAGGAGTTGCATTGGAAATAAGGGGGGAGTGAAAGGAGTTGCATTGGGAAATAAGGGGGAGTGAAAGGAGTTGCATTGTGAAATAAGGGCGGAGTGAAAGGAGTTGCATTGGGAAATAAGGGGGGAGTGAAAGGAGTTGCATTGGGAAATAAGGGGGAGTGAAAGTAGTTGCATTGGGAAATAAGGGGGGAGTGAAAGGAGTTGCATTGGGAAATAAGGGGGGAGTGAAAGGAGTTGCATTGTGAAATAAGGGGGGAGTGAAAGGAGTTGCATTGGGAAATAAGGGGGGAGTGAAAGGAGTTGCATTGGGAAATTAGGGGGAGTGAAAGTAGTTGCATTGGGAAATAAGGGGGGAGTGAAAGGAGTAGCATTGGGAAATAAGGGGGGAGTGAAAGAAGTTGCATTGGAAATAAGGGGGGAGTGAAAGGAGTTGCATTGGGAAATAAGGGGGGAGTGAAAGGAGTTGCATTGGGAAATAAGGGGGGAGTGAAAGGAGTTACATTGGGAAATAAGGGGGGAGTGAAAGGAGTTGCATTGGAAAAAAGGGAGAGTGAAAGGAGTTGCATTGGAAATAAGGGGGGAGTGAAAGGAGGTTGCATTGGAAATAAGGGGGGAGTGAAAAGAGTTGCATTGGGAAATAAGGGGGGAGTGAAAGGAGTTGCATTGGGAAATAAGGGGGGGGGTGAAAGGAGTTGCATTGGGAAATAAGGGGGGAGTGAAAGAAGTTGCATTGGGAAATAAGGGGGGAGTAAAAGGAGTTGCATTGGGAAATAAGGGAGAGTGAAAGGAGTTGCATTGGAAATAAGGGGGGAGTGAAAGGAGTTGCATTGGGAAATAAGGGGGAGTGAAAGGAGTTGCATTGTGAAATAAGGGGGGAGTGAAAGGAGTTGCATTGGGAAATAAGGGGGGAGTGAAAGGAGTTGCATTGGGAAATAAGGGGGAGTGAAAGTAGTTGCATTGGGAAATAAGGGGGGAGTGAAAGGAGTTGCATTGGGAAATAAGGGGGGAGTGAAAGGAGTTGCATTGGTAAATAAGGGGGGAGTGAAAGGAGTTGCATTGGAAATAAGGGGGGAGTGAAAGCTTACAAAGGTTTGAAATTTATCTCATGGATAGTAAAATAAATTCGACGGTTGTATTTCTATGTGATAGTCTAAATAGCATATTTTGTTGTTTCTTTGTTTACTTGTTTTTTTTTATACCAAAAGTAGGTGCACATGCTGCTTCAAGTATCTAAAGGGGTCAATTTCTAGCAGGTATGTGTGTTTGTGCTGATTTTCATATTTGTTCATATTTTTTTTGTAATATTTATTATTTTTTACGGTGGTTGGGGGTAAAAGGGGGGGGGGGTAATTTTGGATAAATACACTAATTTCTATGTGATTTAAATGTCAAACTCTTTCTTGCACATTTTAAAGTGCAGTTTTCTTCTATGATACTTTATTTTATTCAATTCATTCAATTCCCCCCCTCCCCCTTCCCCAATTTTAACTACATTCTCATGATTCTGGCTCCTTCCTCTGCCTTTAATATATTAGTCTCCACATTATGACATTTTATTATGAATTTATCTTGTTTCAATTCTTGTTCAGTTCTGTCTTATATTTCTCTTGATAAGGACACCGTCTTAAAGTTTGATGTGAAAAATTGTAGACACTGATAACATAGAACCTAAATACTCAATGAAAATGCTCAAACCATCAATAAATCTCGTGACTATTTGTGTTATTCTCGTGCATTTGTTATATTGCATCCAGTGTGATGAGAATCCGTTAAAGGAGGAGGCTATCAAACTGTCAAATATTCATAAGGATATAGACACGGACAGGAACAGGAAATTAACACGCCAAGAGGTAAGAAAATAACCTTAATGCATGGCCAGGGTGACCGGGATGCCAATTCCACTTTAAATCAAATCTTAAAAAGACTAAGTCTACATGTATTTGCATACCTTTGAAACCTGTGTTGGTTGTTTTTCCGGAACTTCGTTTTGCTTTTTGCTTCATCAAATCAAATTGGCTGCCTTTCAAACTTGTTCAATTTGCTTGCTTCGAAAACGAGCAGGCGGCAACCGAAGACAACCTCTGATTTACAGGCCTCTGACTTGGAACAGACATGTAAAGAATGTGACGGGGTTAAACATATTTGTGAGGGCTCAACCCACTTCTTCTTGTTGAAAATATGCATGTTATCAGAAGAAGAATACATGCAGTAGAAGACTAAAAACAAACGATAATTCGTAATACAGCAAGAATGCAACACGATTATTTTATTGTGTTGAAATCATGTTACTTCCATTGTATTTTTATTCTTTTATAGGTAACAATATACCTCGTTGCAAACAAAATTGGTTACAGTCCAGATTCTGATTACTTCAAAGACATTGTGGACAGTTTGTTTGATGAACATGACAAAAATAAAGATGGACTTATAGCTTATGATGAATTTGTTCCGAGGCATGATGAACTTTGAACTTTGAAAGTTAGATAATATAATATAATTTTACGTATCCTAGCTGGATAAAATGTATTTTTGACAGTATGTTCTCATGCGTATTAAAATTTGCATATTTCGTTTTTAATTTAGTCCTATGGTGTTAGACTTGTTTTATTTTGCACTTTCGCTTCTGTAGATCTCGTAAGTCACTTCTGCGTTTCTTATACAGCCTAAGGATGTTCTCTACTGTGTTTCAAAATAACAAGCTTTTTAGAAGACTGATATAAATTAATAGATTTAAATAATGGAACTAAAATAGCAGAAAAAAATGTAAGCCATTGAAATTTGGCGGGAAATGATTCTCTCTAGAATTATCATACCTATATCATTGACACCTTTTCCTTTCAAAAACTAAGAAAAAATAACAAAGATTTTATAAGATTTTCGAATATGACTTTTTAAACTATATGTAAAAAAATTATGAAAAGAAAAGTATCGGTTAGCGGCAATTTTTTTTCATGGCACTACATGGATAAAACCAGAGGATTCCGAATATCTGACAAAAATTTAAAAAACAAGAGGAACGAACATCCTTAATATAGAGCTGTAATGCAGTACTGGATACGGGTTCTTCGTTTCTGTATTCTTTAATTTAGGAGGTTCTTATTTTTTATGTCATTTTTTCTGTATTCTTTATATTTTTGCCCATCATTCTTTATTCTTTATAATTTAGCTCCAAGTTGTTCTCTATTCTACATTTTTTGCCGCCTAATTTTTCTCTACACTGCTTTTTTTGTCCACTGTCTGTAGAATTGGCCAATTCAGTATTCTCTATTATGTAAACCCCAGACCCTTATGTATAGTGGTATCTGTTATGTTCATCGCAGTCCTTTTTCTTTTTCTCAAATCGAAGTCCAATTCCTTATTTCTCTTAACGTCACTAAACTTTTTTTCTGTGAATATTGCAGTGACGTTTTAGCAGCAAACAAACGTTTTAACTGTAATTGAAGATACACTAAGTAAAAATATGAACTCAACCGATACCAATTGATACCTCACGACTTAAACCAAGTCTTTTGTGACAATTTTTAAAAGTACACTTTTTCTACAGTTTTGTCTCATAATATTAACAGCTAGTTAATGCAGGTAATGATATTAGATTTGCTTTTGCTTTCTTTTCGTAATACATTTTACAAAATGAAAATAAAAAACCGCAACTATCATATTGCTCACCTGGTCGCTGATTGGGTCCTGCGAACTTGGCCTCTTCCTCTCTAAGCCATAACTATTTCGTTCGAATATTAATAAAAATGATTGATTGATTGATTAATTAATATTTGATTTATGTCCAGCGGCTAATATTACATACACGTTCAAGAGGTTAACATGATAATGAGATAAGGTTACGGCTGATCTAGAAAGGTAAGCAGTTCCGTTTGCTCTTGATGATAAATGTCATTCAGAAATGTCGAATTTGAGAAAAAAGGGCAGGACTGTGTCTACAACTGAAAATATGTTTGTGTTCATCTATTGTGACACAGATGTTCCACAACGGCCAATTAAATATGATAAGATAACAACGTTTATTGCAATAAGCACAATTACGCTATAGCATATTTAAATTGAATTTTGATGACCTGTGTAAAACTTTCGAATGATGTTTCCGGGAAGTTTTACACTCCTACCTAGGAGTCTACTCCAGTATTTGGAAGAAGAAGAAGATACCATAAGCATTACAAGTAGGAATCATTTGTTCAATAGCGTCCTTTGTGCCTTATAAATCACGACAGGAAGGGCAAGCTCTATACATATATGGAATATCGGGTCAACTATTGTGATATAATAAGTACACCCCTTTTGCATATCTGTAATATCGTAGCAAAAGTGTGATATATACTGCTAGTGCATATCTATAATATCGTGTCAACCGTGTGATATACACTCATTGTGCATATCTGTAATATCGTGTCAACCGTATGACATACACTCCTTGTGATTATCTTGAATATCGCGTCAGCCGTGTTATATACACTCCTTGTGCATATCTGTAGTATCGTATCGACCGTGGGATATACACTCCTTCTGCGAATCTGTAATATCGTGTCAACCGTGCCAATGTGGGATATACTCCTTGTGCATATCTGAAATATCGTGTGCATCCGGGTGATATACACTCCTTGTGCATATCTGGAATATAATGTCAACCGTGAGTTACACTCCTTGTGCGTACCTGTAATATCGTGTCAGCAATGCGATATACACTTCTTGTGCATATCTGTAATATCGTGTCAGCCGTGGGATATACACTCCTTGTGCATATCTGGAATATCGTGTCAACCGTGTGATACACTCTTTGTGCAAATCTTGAATATCGCGTCTGCCATGTGATATATACTCCTTGTGCCTATCTGTAATAACGTGTCAACCATGGGATATACACTCCTTGTGCATTTCTGGAATATCGTGTCAATCGTGTGATATGCACACCTTATGCATATCTGCAATACCGTGTCAACCGTATGATATACACTCCTTGTGCATATCTGGAATATCGTGACAACCGTGGGATATACACTCCTTGTACATATCTGGAATATCGTGTTAATCATGTGATATATACTCCTTGTGCATATCTGTAATATCGTGTCAGCCATGGGATATACACATCCTTGTATACGTACATATCTGAAATATCGTGTCAATCATGTGATAGACACTCCTTGTGCATATCTGGAATATCGTGTCAACCGTGTGATATACACTCCGTGCATATCTTAAATATCGCGTCAGCCATGTGATATACACTCCTTTTGCATATCTGTAATATCGTGTCAACCGGGTGATATGCACTCCTTGTGCATATCTGAATAATCGTGTCATTCGTGTGATATACACTCTTTTTTCATATCTGGAATATCGTATCAATTGTGTCTGTAATATCGTGTCAGCCGTGTAATACACACTCTTTGTGCATATTTGGAATATTGTGTGTAGCTAGATATCATATTTGTTTCTCGTTAATTTTTTTTTTAGTACATTAATCAAGTCGTTGGTTTTCTTGAATCGTTTTACATTTCGGGGGCATTTTGGTGTTAAGAGTTTTTCTCATTGTTGAAGACCGTACATTGACCTGTTGTTGATAAGTTCTAGTCATTTGGTTTCTGTTGGAAAGATATCTCGTTTACAATCATACCACATCTTCTATTTTTTATATTATCTATATAGACTAAGTGAAACGTGAAGTTAAGGATATATTTTTTTTTCTAAAGTATATGAATTTTACTTGTTCCCATTGAATCCATATGGTGTGAATGACTACAAGGATTTCTGTTTGTCGATATTGTTTAAACAGTCTTCTATAATTGATAATAAATATAATTCGTCAGAGAATATAACTGGATTGTATTAAGTTGCCTTGTCAGATGAATGAAAATGTGTTGCGTCCGTGTAGACTGCCATTTATCTGTAATATGAACAATAAAATACCGGAATTAAATATAGAGTTGTGCTAGATTGCAAAACAGAATCGGACCGAGATGTAGTTTAAACAATGAAACAAAACGAAACATATTTAAAGACAAATGTTTTGTGCAAAGAAGTGGAAAGAATTTAGCATTTGTTTTTCATTTTTTTTTCAATACTTGCAGATTACCTGTGGAAATTAACAATATCGTAAATTATATATATATAAAAAAAAAACATTTAAAAAGAGCTATCGAATTTAGGTAAGTGTAAATAAAACCCCAATTCTAACCCTTTTCACATCACATTTTTAACGTTGATCTTAGCAGATGTTGTTTACATTTTTCCGCCTTTTTATTTTTTAGCATATTAGGCAATCATTTTTTTTCTTAAAAGATGACACTATTTGGTGTAATTCTTCCAAAGTTCATTCACAAGTTCTCCAGCTACGACATGATTGACCTTATTACTAAGCATCCATATAAGAAAAACTCCATCCCGACGTAAATAACTATGAACAAAGTCTGTTTGTGACTCTGTCAAATGTTCAGGAATTATCTGGTACCGTCCAGTATGAACACCATTTACTATAAGAAATTTGTGTACATAAACCTCTGCTCGATATGGCAAAAATGTAGATACCAAGTTATACAGGAAGTAGATGGCGTTTATAATCGTCATAACAACCAAAAGGAACCAATTTGCTATGAATATTTTCTCACTGAATAGATTAATCGGCAATGAACATTGGACGGTCCATGTTTGTACATTTGTCATTTGTCGTAATTCAAAATCACAAAACGTAACAATTGGAAATCTGTTGTGGTCCAACAAAGTATCTCCCATGACAGCGCGTTTGAGAATATCTGGCCCTAGTGTTTTAAATCTTATCCCAAGAAGACTGTCTACTATGAATATTTGACTTAAAGCGGTTGCTGCATATAAGAATGAAGTAAGGAGAAATATAAGTACAATATAATTTCCTTTATGGATTCCCATAGCAACAAGGGTTTCATTCGTTTGTTCCATGTTTCTATTCCTCGTTGTCACGCAATTCCGAATTTTTAAGTATTTTTCGAAATATTCAACGGTACTTTTTACAGTTTTCTTACGTTCATCTCCATACTTGTATGATATTTCGTTCGCTATTTTTATAATTTTTTTAATATTCAAAGACGAATATCCACTAAACGCCTTCCAGAATAATCTTGGTGCATAAAATAAAACGGCCTGAAATAGCAATATGATAGGTGTCCATTGGTAATATTGAATTTCAGTTTCATGTCTCGCATACTTTTCATTCGGAATAGTAGAATCAAAATCAACTACGTAAGTATTCCGAACCCAACAATATTTGTCGATGTATGGTATCTGGTATTTAGTGAACTGGGCAGGACACCAGCACTGAATTGGGTTACCAGTATATAACTTTGTACTAACGGCTATCGCGACAATAATAAAGAAAATCAGACAACCAGACCGATTTAATTGATGAATCAGAGAATCGTCTGTTAAATCTTTTATTCCTGCTAACTTTCTTGCTAGTTTAAAGTCGTTGATACTGAAAAGTTAATAATAATAATAATAATAATAATAATAATAATAATAATAATAATAATAATAATAACAGGAGGAGGAGGAGGAGCAGGAGGAGGAGGAGGAGGAGGAGGAGAAAGAGGAGAAGGAGGAGGAGAATTGGCATAATCATGGTCAAGGTGTTGTCTCACGTAGGATAGTATAGAAACGTGACTTTTAATATACCTGTTTTCCCACCATTTGTATACCTCAAAGGATATAGTATAACGAAAAAATCCGGCGATACTTTTGTTATTATACTCTTTACATACTCAAAATTAAACATTTAAATATCCCGGACCTAGTTTTTGAAACTCAAAGATTTCGACCTGGTGACTGATATGAATTAATACAGGGGGAATTGTCCCTATCTCTGTTTGTCATTCCAAGTACCTTCCTCATCAAGACCTCCTATTTATGTAACTGTCAGAATGAAAAGTTCTTCAGAAGTTATTGTCATTGAATGTTGCTGCTTTAATGCTACTTTTAGCTTAGTACTCATGTATGTTTCTCGTTTCTCGTTTTTTATATAGATTAGACCATTGGTTTTCATGTTTGAATTGTTTTACACAAGCCATATTGGGGCTCTTTATAGCTTGCTGTTCGGTGTGAGCCAAGGCTCCGTGTTGAAGGCCGTACTTTGACCTATAATTGTTTACTTTTTACACATTGTGACTTAGATGGAGAGTTGTCTCATTGGCACTCATACCACATAATCTTATTTATATGAAATATATGTTTTATATGTTTTATGCTTTATTATCAGTATAGTATAAAAATAAGGAGATGTGGTATGATTGCCAATGAGACAAAGTGGATGTAAGCAATTAAAGGCAACCGTACGGCCTTCAACAACGAGAAAATCTCATACCGTATAGTCGGCTATAAAAGGCCCCGACATGAAAAATATGAAACAATTTAATAGAGAATACTAACGGCCTAATTTATAACAAAGCAATTTACGAAAAACAAATATGACAGACATGAACCAACGACAACCACTGATCTACAGGCTCCCGACTTGAGACAGGCACATACAGAATGTGGGTCACACATGTGTGTGAGCTCTCAACCCTCCCCTAACCTGGGACAGTGGTGTTACAGCACAACATAAAAACACAAAAATGTCAGTATTCACCTCTGAAACTAACAAAACCTTTAAATAGACTTATTAAGAAGGCATATAGTTACGATACTGTTGTCAGGTCATTAAAGATTGCATATTTTGGCGTTAATATTGATTCACTTATAGGGTCTTTGCATCGGCACTAAACACATTTATTTAAAAACCAGTTGTTGGCATGACACGGGTTATGTTCTTCTCATATATGTTATGATGGTATGATACTAAACTCCTAACGGGAAGGATTGTGCCTGATATTCATATGATGAAGACATAATCTTTCAATCAGTTTAATTGAAGTCTGGAGCTGGCATGTCAGTTAACTGCTAGTAGTCTGTTGTTATTTATGTATTATTGTCATTTTGTTTATTTTCTTTGGTTACATCTTCTGACATCAGACTCGGACTTCTCTTGAACTGAATTTTAATGTGCGTATTGTTATGCCTTTACTTTTCTACATTGGCTAGAGGTATAGGGGGAGGGTTGAGATCTCATAAACATGTTTAACCCCGCCGCATTTTTGCGCCTGTCCCAAGTCAGGAGCCTCTAGCCTTTGTTAGTCTTGTATTATTTTTAATTTTAGTTTCTTGTGTACAATTTTGAGTTTAGTATGGCGTTCATTATCACTGAACTAGTATATATATTTGTTTAGGGGCCAGCTGAAGGACGCCTCCGGGTGCGGGAATTTCTCGCTGCATTGAAGACCTGTTGGTGGCCTTCTGCTGTTGTCTGTTCTGTGGTCGGGTTGTTGTCTCTTTGACACATTCCCCATTTCCATTCCCAATTTTATATATATAAAAACGAGCTGAAAATGGCTCAACTCACCATATCGATACAAAGCAGAAAAACATCAAACAAAAACATATAACGAACGTAAATGTATGTATTTGTCAGTTATAAGAGCCCAAAGAGCCCAAAGAGCCTATGTTATTGTTTTGTTTCATGCCGACTTTGAATAAGGCTTTTAATTTGATTTGACTGAAATAACCGTACTATTTGCTTGTTTGTTTCTTTATCTCTACAGACAGTTGATTCCTGTATACAGTGTAAAACATGATATCTATTTTTGTTGGTGTCTTTGTTAGATTTATTTGTATGTTTGATGAATTTTGAGTCAGTTTTCATGTATTTTTACACTATTTTGGCTGCTGGATCCCAATTATTGCCACATTAGCCTATTATGTCTGTTTGGGTTGCTCACCAAATTTTGTCAATATAACGGAACTATAAACAAATGTCATACAAGTGGGAGGTTTAGCTAGCTATGAAACCAGTTTTAACCCACCATTTTCATTAGAAAATGCCGTACAAAGTCCTGCTTATGACTGTTCCGTTCCGTTGATTGATGACGTTTTATTTTGTCTGTTATTATAGACTGCCCCTTTTGAATTTGCCTTGGAGTTCTGTATTTTTGTTTTACTTTTTTTTACGCACCAGTATTATATACGGAAATGAACCAACTCATCACAGAAATATAGAGAAACACTTGTTGTGTGCTAGGAAACCTGTATTTGGATTTAATCTACGTGAAAGGCAAGAAAGAAATTTGTGCACATTTAAAACTGGTTTTATCTCATCACGTGGGTGCCAAGCTGCAAACAGTCAGGCTATCTGGACCAGAACAATGCCTCTAACTGAACAGGAAAATGTTCTCGTAGGTTTTTTTTTTGCGATAAAAAAACAGAAATTATACACGCTCAAATATTTTGCGATATACGGCATACCTCATCGCATTATCCCGGCCCCTAACGGCATTTTTAGCAAGTATAGAATAATCATTCTTATACACAGATGTGCATGCTTTTTCATTTCACTGATGGTTGCAGAGGTTTCTTGGTAAATATCGTCAACACTTTATGTATACAAATTAGAGGAACTGCAAATACAAGCATGATGTATTGTTGCCTTAGAATTTAGTTGTTGTCAAAATGTAAATTATTATTCTTTAAGTAAATATAAAAAGGTATTACACTTTGTCTTCATGTCGAATCTACTATATGTAGTCTTACCCCATTTCTCCGTATTGCGTCACAGCGTGCAACTTGATCAATCTAGTAATATGTTATCTCTACTTGTATTACAGGGGTTACTTTGTTTATTTATCAGTCCTACACAATTCATTATCATTATTGTTTCCTGTCCTAAAAACAAACCTGTTTATAAAACTGCTTAGTCAAATAGATTTATAAAAAGAATATATTAACTTAAAATATCAAGTTCTATGTTATAAGATAGACTTATATTTTTTTCCATTCCACAGGACGAAAGAAGAGGCCTTATCATACTTTAAATTTTGAATAAAATGATATTTCGACAAATGCTAGACTTTACTCTACACGTGCTACTCTAACTGTGGCAATATGTTGACTGGGGTGTAGAAATAGGGTCATCTGTATCTTTTAATTTCGTCAGAAATTAAGACTAATGGTGAAGAGACAATTGTCCGTGTTGTATGATATATAAATACAAGTTATCAAATCTATGATAACAAAAATTAAGAACAAATATCCGATAAGATAAAAATATTGCTTGTCAGGATGTTCACTGATCTGGTTTTTGACTTTTTGACAGATATTCGTATTTCTCTGGTTTTTACAATGTAGTGCCATTATATATTATGCCCGTTAACCCCTTCTTTTCTTTTCATAGTTTTATAACGTAAAGTTAAAAGCCACTTTTGAAAATATGACAAAATCCTTGTTAGTTTTTCATAGATTTTGAAAAAAAAATGTGCAAATGTTAGATGTTAAATTTTCAATAGCTTATATCTCAAAAACAAGGACATAGACCTTTCTTTTTTACTTCTTCTCTTTAAGTATCAATTTATAACAGTCTTTTATAAAGCTTGTTATTTTGAAACAGCGTAGTCAACATCATTAAAGTTTAAAAAGCTAGTTCGATAATACGGCGAATGCATGATATCTAAATAAATCTGTATATAAATTACTAGGTTTTACTAAGTTTTGAATTAGTTCCCTTAGTTGTGGAATCTACTGTCATTAGATTTTCAATATATATACCAGAAAGTGACGAAGTGTTGTATGTTCCAGCATGATATATTATAATTTGGCTTTACCAATCTAAGTGTGCATTGTCAATCAGTTTGATGTGCTTAATGTCCGACACAGCAGTGCATTGCCCGTGATGAACATGACGTGTTCATTGTCAATCAGTTTATTGACATGTGATTTATGTCCGTCACAGTAGTGCAATTCCAGAGATGAACGGGATGTGTTCATGATGTGCTTAATGTCCGACATAGCTGTGCATTGCCCGAGATGAACATGACGTGTTCATTGTCAATCAGTTTGATGTGTTTAATGTCCGTTACAGTAGTACAATGCCCGAAATGAACAGAGCGTGTCCATTGTCAATCAGTTTCTTGTGCTTAATGTCCGTCACAGTAGTGCAATTCCCGAGATGAACGGTATGTGTTCATTGTCAATCAGTTTGATGTGCTTAATGTCCGACACAGCAGTGCATTACCCGAGATGAACATGACGTGTTCATTGTCAATCAGTTTCTTGTGCTTAATGTCCGTCACAGCAGTGCAATGCCCGAAATGAACAGGGCGTGTCCATTGTCAATCAGTTTCTTGTGCTTAATGTCCGTCACAGTATCGCAATTCCCGAGATGAACAGGATGTGTTTATTGTCAATCAGTTTCGTGTGCTTAATGTCCGTCACAGAGGTGCAAAGCCCGAAATGAATAGGGCGTGTTCATTGTCAATCAGGTTTATGTGCTTAATGTCCGTCACAGTAGTGCAATGCCAGAAATGAACGGGGCGTGTTCATTGTCAATCAGGTTCATGTGCTTAATGTCAGTCACAGCAGCGTATTGCAAGAAATGAATGGGACGTATGCATTGGTCTTTTGACGACATTTGGCGATATTCTGATCCAAATGTGCATTGCACGGAATTGAGTAAATGTAGATACATATCGTGATAAATACCTACCCGAAACTATATAGTTCTGTTTATCACCACCAATAGCCATTTCCCACTGATGCAACGTCAAACAGAGATAAATGAATCATATATTTGAATAGATTTATGCAATAAATCACCCTTGGACGCA